ATACTTTATGACGAATTGCAAGCATCACGTATAAGTAACTGCAGGTCCCATAGGTACACATCGGATGGAGAAAGGACCATGTGGAGATTTATGCATGGAGGTCATGTCCTCATCATAGGGTATTGGTCTCGCCGTAGGGCTCGACTAAACTCAAAAGGTGGGTCGGTCCTTCTCGCAGTGCTTGGCCATTGCTAGTTCATGGCATGCGAGGTTTGGGCTCAAACCAGAAGTGATGAGGGCCACATAGTGTCTATGAAGTGCTCAATAAAATGCCGAGGCATTCATTTGTGCAATGAGGCACCTTTGGGCACGTGATAGTTGCAAGCTAAGGACTTGGCTAAAACATGCATGTCCATGATAGTACACGTGGTGTGCGTGTATGGTTCGAGCGAAGTCGAGAAACGCCCGTATGCCTCCCAAGTGGGAGGGCGAGCGTTAGTTTAACATAGGTTAGCGAGGGCGGCCTAGGTGCACGTGGATGGCCTCCGAGAGTTTGGTCACGGCTGTGGTTAAGCCATGTCGTCCTCGGTGCACTTGTGTTCATGGTGGCCGCAATAGTGTGGGCTATGTCTCGCACAAGCGGTGGGGGTGACATTGGTGCTCTATGGTTGTGCAGCCAAGGTCGTGCCAAGGTGCTCAACCATGTGACAAAATAGACTCACTCTAGTGTTGTCCGAGGCATGAGTGCCATGGAAGGACATGGTGAGTGCTAGGTGTACGTGTCACGTATCTACGGCTATCGTTAACACGCGATCGACGAGGTCCCAAGGGCTTACGGATGGTAGGTCACTTGACGTGGGTAGGACTCGATGCCGATAGCGCTGCATCATTATCCTAGTCACCCGGTGGGGTTCAGTTCAAGGCTTGTCATAGATGAAGTAGGGGTTGGCCTGCTTGTGGTTCGTTTGCTGGACTGCAAGTTAAAGGCTTCGACTTGTGCGTAGCCATGCTCGTGGGTGCGGTGTTTGTGCGTGTGAGAGACTATGGCTGAAGCATGTGTAGCAGCACCACCGTGCCATGCGTTTGTGTGAGCCGGGGGCACGTACCAGACCGTGGTCAGGGCGGCCGGCAGCGGTGGTACCATGCCATGGCCCATGCAGGGCTGTGGGTGGGTGCCACACTATGACATCATGGGCGAGATCGCTGGGCTAGTGTAGCTGCATTTAGGCGGCAACAAGGTTGGGGCTTTTGTTCTGTGGGTGCGACGTGCGAGCACGTCATGCCCAAGCTGTGGCTTTGCGAGCTCGGCTCGAGGGCCGAACGGAGGGATCGAAAGGCAGGCCAAGGTTGCGCCTTCGGACGGAGCTTGTCATGCACGGCAAGGTCACGGTCATGGCGGCCGCCTAGGGGAAGATGGCAAAAGGGCCAGTCTTGGGTGCTGACTACAAGGTAGCCGATATCTAAGAGGGCAGCGCAGTGAGCTCGTGATCCGGTGCTCCTACAGTGCATGTCAAAGGATGCGGGTGCGAGTGGCATTGTCGTGCCCTAACGGCGATAGCGGCCATGAAGGTCTAGCCTCGATCTCAATTCTAGGGAAGGCAAGGGACAATGTGGCCAGCGCGTGTGTGTGCGCTGTGTGGTCGACTGGATGGTGAGAATGAGATTGTGGTTTGGGTTTAGAGAAGATTTATACACTACTTTTGATGCTTTTCTGCATGCGCTAAGGATGCAAACCACAGCCAAACTAGTAGGATCGCTAGATCCTTTTTTCTATTTTCCACTAAAGCTCATTGGTGTTGACCTAGGCCTGCACACATCTGGCGGTGTGCAGATTTCTTGACTTGCAGTGATGATTGAGATTAGTAGTTGGTTTTGTTCTACACTCAAGGATGCCTCTGGATGGGAGATCACCAAGCTTGGCTTCCATGATAAAATAACGGTGTTTTATTTGTTAATAGTTGTACTCAATTATTGTAATATATTTTATTTATGCACTCTGATATTGTATGACTCTGTAATCAGCTGTAAATTGGACGCCCGTGATAGCCAAGATATCCTAGGACTATTACAGATGGGCAAAAGGATCGGAGTTTCTATTTTAGAAATCCCGGTCTGCTATAGAAAGGACCGAGTGGGATACTTTATGACGAATTGCAAGTATCACGAATAAGTAACTGCAGGTCCCACAGGTACACATCGAATGGAGAAAGGACCGTGTAGAGATTTATGACGAAGTGTCGTTCATTACAGATCAAAAACTTCATCACAGATGTGTAATTAGTTCAATGACGAAGCTCTGGTCATCATAGTTCTAAAGAGGATCGTCACATATGAGCAGGAACAGTCGCGCGACGGTTTTTGGTGATGAACCCCGTACTGTTCTATGACGTTTTCGCGAGACAATGCTTGATTTCATCATAAATAGGGAGGGTTGGAGGATCGTCACCACTGATCTATGACGAAACGTAAATATCCGTCATAAAAAGCGATATTCTATGACAGATTCGGATTCGTCATTAAGATTTTTGTCATAAAAGTGGATATTTCTAGTAGTGTATGGCACCGTCTTTTGATCTGTTGGGCCATGTATCGTCCTTGAGCCCATTAGGGGGCGTGTCCGGGGGTTTTCCACACCCGTTAGGCAATATATTGAGTCATTCCCACCCATGTTAGGGTTTAAGTTTTGTTTTAGATTGACCTGTCTTCGAATAGTCGCCGTCATCGGTTGTGAAACCCCCAACTTTTAGTGTTTAATAATATATCCGCAATTGTCACTTCAATTGAGTTGCACACTTTTAAGTTCTTACTTGTGTTCTTCATTTCATCGGCAAGGACTAGCCTGCTCAGCGAGGTCAACCGGACTACGAGACGATTGATAACTAGAGGAGACATGGTGCTAAGGTTGTGAGGTTCGGGTCTATTGATCTGGAGCCGGATCGATGTGTCGCTCTCCACTAAAAAAATAGTTATCTCGATCTGACAAAAGATCGGGAACCCCGTCCCCATCAAGTTGTAAAGTTTAAACCGATAAAAAGAGCATCTCCAAGAATATTTCTAAAATTTTACTCTCTAAATCATCTTTTAGAGTCATTTGAGTAAAAAAATCACTTTTATATCTTTGTAGCCTCCAACAAATTTCCTATATCATGTGCGCATTATAGAGAGTAATCCTCTCTCTCTATTTTTGGCTAGTAAAAACCTAAAATAAAGAATGTTTATATTTGAAGATCTAATTTAAAAGATTGTTTTGTAGTTTTTTTCTTAGCAAAATCTCTATTTCTATAAATTAGAGATGATATAAAGAGTCTTTTGGCATTGCTCTAAAACCAAATCACAGCCTTTTATTCCATCCGTTTTAAATTATAAGTCGCTTTGATTTTTTGGTACACCTATTTTACTATGCATCAAGATATAAGGTATGCTTAGATCCATATCAATGCTATTCTTTGTACCAAAAGTTTAGGATCGTTAGTTGGCGGTTACGGTCACTTCAGGCAGAGCACGACGACAACAAACATAGCTTTCGTTCCCACGGAAGATCTCAGAGGCAAGAGTTCGGTCCAAACAAATTAATTTTGTGGCCCTCATGTGTCCAAGAACAAAAGGTTCTGTTACATACGGACAAATATAAATATAGATAGTTACTTCTTTAGGTTCCAAGTTAAACATAGATAATATACTTTCTTTGTTTCACCAAGACAATCTTTCTCGCTTTTTGAGAAGTGAAATATATTTTCAACTTTAACCAATTATAAAGAAAATATTAATATTTATGATGTATAATTAGTATCATTAGATGAATTATTAAATATATTTTAATAATGAACTTATTTGAAGATACAAATATTGCTAATAATCTTTATAAGCCTAATTAAATTTAAGAAAGTTTGACCGATACGAACCCTATAGAGATACTCTTTTTGGAAAGGATGGAGTATTTCGAATATAGATATCTATCTCATATCTGTATCAGATATCTAACTTTGGAGTATTAAAATTCAGATATGGTAAGGATATTGAATGTTTAGAGTTGGATGTTTATTATCTATTTAGTATTTGAATCTTTTGGTTTGGACGGTTAATAGAAGAATAGCTGTACCCTTTGCATCGATCTGAGACTCCCTTCATCCTAAAAAGAATACTACCAGAAAAATCAAACAAATTCAAGTTTGATCAAATTTATACAAGAAAATACCAATATTTATGATGCCGAATAAGTACTACTAGATTAATTATAAAATATATTTTTATAGTAAATCAATTAGGAAAAATATAAATATTTATATTATTTTCTATAAATTTGGTTAAATTCAAAAAAGTTGAACTTATTCTAAATATATAATTATATTCTTTTTAGGAATGAGAGATTAGAAAATATAATTATTTTTGGACTCGCATGTGACGAAGGAGGAAGGAACACCAAAACGGCCACGCGAGCACATTTTATCTTATAATTATTAATAATAACATTGACCTTGTTTAGATAACCAAACACACTCAAATGCGCCTCCGAAGAAATACAAGCAGGTTTGGTAATCTAGGACTTAAAATGGGGTTGGCATGTTCTGCAGTAACGAACCCACCAATTGAACTAACCTCATTTCAGTTTAGAAAAGAAGAAGAATGTGAAAGAAAGAAAAGGTTGGATTGATGTAGAGTTGTCGGTGTACATTTCAGTTACTGAGATTTTGTCCCAGCCATATTTTTCCATCTGGAGCTACTGTGAAGATGGAAGATATCGATACTCCACTCCTTGCCAGCAGGCAGCAGGTCAGCACATTGAGTTTCTCCAGAAACTCCAATACCGCCGCAGCGCACTTGGTCAGATGCCGAAGCCGTGCTGCTGCTCCTGCGGTCCTGCCTGCCTACAGGTGCCGTGGGCGTGGAAGCCGCCGCCTCCTCGCGCTCTCTGTGCCGCACATCAAATCCTCTCGGAGAACAGCCAAACCAACCACCAAAATGTAAGAAAACACACGCCCCGACACTGTCGACGCCCACGCTAGTCACCGCAAAGCTCCGCCTCCGCCTCCGCACCTCCTCCCACTCGCCCGGCCGCGGCCATGGCGACCACCACGTCCACGACGGCGGCCGTCTCCTTCTCCCTCCCCTCGCCCCCGCACCGCCGCGGGGCCCGGCGCCGCCGCGCGCCTTCCCTCCTCCGTGCCGCCTCCACCGCCGCACCCCCCTCCCCCGACCTCTCCATCCAGCTCTCGCTCCGCGCCTCCCCGCCCGCGTCGACCAACGGCGCCGCCACCGCGCTTGGACCCCCCGTGGCCGCCTCCTTTGCCCGTGACCGCGCCGAGGACCTGCAGGCCGAGGCCCGCGCCATGGCCCGCGCCGCCGGCGCCACAGTCTACAGCCCCGAGCTCCTCGCCGCCCGCTACGGCTCCCGCCCCTTCATGGCACGCGCCCCGGGCTCAGACCTCCACCAATTTTGGACTTGATCTACCTCTGCTCCGTAACCTGGGTGCTCGGATTTTGATTCGTGCTGCCCTGACTGCTGCTCTGTAATCAATCAGGTGGCGCTCCGGGCAGCGGAGGTGCTGTCCGAGCTGACGTCGTTCGGGGTGAAGGTCCTGCTGGACGAGCGGAGAGGGGAGTCATCCTCGGAGAGGAGGCGCGCCAGGGCGGTGGAGCTCCGCACCATCCTCACCAGGCTTGGCCCAACCTTCGTCAAAATTGGGCAGGGCCTGTCCACGCGCCCCGACCTCTGCCCGGCCGAGTACCTCGAGGAGCTCGCCGAGCTGCAGGTGCGTCCTTTTCCAATTCTTTGCCTGCTTGGCCTTTATGTGATTTATTAAGATAGTTTCAGGATAGCAATATCAATGCATGGATTTGGAAGACCAACATTGCGCCAATAGAGTTTTTTTTTTTTTGGTGAAAATAGAGCATCACTCCGGCACTACGCCCAATTTCATATTGAATTGTGGTTCATTCAACATGCATATACTACTGCCCAGGGTTCCTCCCATTATGAGATACTTTGCAGTTTCTAGAGGGGGTTGGGCCGTTGGTTACTTATGAAACAGCTAATTAGTTTGGATGGATTCGGTTCCATCTTCTAGAGTTACCAATAGAGGATGCACTCCTCATTCTAGCTTCGGAAGTTACTTCTAGTGCAAATTTTAGGTCCCTCCCAACTCCCAAGTCCCAACTGTTGAGACTTCGCTTTCTTGCAGGATTCACTTCCCACATTTCCGGATGAAGAGGCATTTGCATGTATTGAGAGAGAGCTCGGATTCGCGCTTGATTCCATCTACTCAACAATTTCACCTTCCCCCATTGCAGCTGCTAGTTTAGGTCAAGTTTATAAAGCAAGGTTGAAATACTCTGAGAAGCTGGTAGCTGTGAAGGTGCAAAGACCCGGTATTGAGGATGCCATTGGGCTTGACTTTTATCTACTTAGAGGACTTGGCTTTCTTATAAATAAGTACGTTGACATTGTAACCAGCGATGTTGTTGCCCTCATGGATGAATTTGCTCGAAGAGTTTTCCAAGAGCTTAATTATGTTCAGGTACATTTTTCTTGTCCTTGTGTGAACTTATGTACATACATTCTGTTATTCTTCTCTTTCTAGCTGCAGGGCCGCTTTCCTATGTTTCATTTATGATGAAATAAGAATACAATGGAACAAGAAAAAAACTGAAATTCTCAGTTCCTTCAACAGTATATTATTATAGAAGTAGTTCTCCTTAGTTTGTCTAAATGTTATCATTTATCGTTGAATGTTAATAAGAATGCGGAATGCAGGAAGGCCAAAATGCAAGAAGGTTTAAAAAATTATATGCCGATAAGCAAGATGTATTAGTGCCTGATATATTTTGGGATTACACAAGTGCAAAGGTTCTAACAATGGAGTGGATTGAGGGTGTAAAATTAAACCAACAAGCAGTTATTGAAAGTCAAGGATTGAAGGTTCTGGATTTGGTCAACATTGGTATCCAGTGTAGCTTGAGGCAGCTTCTGGAGTATGGTTACTTTCATGCTGACCCTCATCCTGGTAATATATTAGCAACACCTGAGGGGAAACTGGCTTTTCTTGATTTTGGCATGATGAGTGAAACACCAGAGGATGCGAGGGTAGCCATTATAGGACATGTTGTCCACTTAGTCAACAGGGACTATGAAGCAATGGCTCGTGATTATTATGCACTAGATTTCTTGGAACCCGATGTAGATGTTTCCCCGATTGTGCCTGCTCTCAAGAATTTCTTTGATGATGCACTAAATGCAACAGTGAGTGAGCTGAACTTCAAGACAATAGTTGATGGCCTAGGTGCTGTTCTCTATCAGTACCCATTCAATGGTAAGCTTGCAATTGTACAAATATTAGTTCCTTGTCTTGTCTTATTTTTCTCATAGAGTGATATAACTTCTAAAGCTCTTTATTCAATTCCAGTACCGGCATACTATGCATTGATACTGCGATCTCTCACCGTACTGGAAGGTTTAGCACTCTATGCTGACCCTGATTTTAAGGTGCTTGCTGCATCATATCCTTACTTTGCGAAAAGGCTACTCACTGATCCCAATCCATATCTCAGAGATGCTTTAATTGAGCTTCTATTCAAGGATGGAAGATTCAGGCAAGTACCTGCTCATCTGTATATATTTTATAGTCTTCTGACAGATCAAAGCACTACTCAGGATAGCATTGTTTAACGTTCACATCTCTGCAGATGGAATAGGCTTGAAAATCTTCTTGTTCAAGGGCGCCAAGATAGAGAGTTTGCAGCCAAAGATGCACTACAGCCTGTTCTAAAACTTCTCCTTGGTCCTGATGGGGAGGAATTGCGTGTGTTAGTTGTGAAAGAGGCAGTTCGTGTAACAGAAGCCATCACTATTGGAACACTGATCGATTCATACAATGCCGCTCCAGCATTTTTGAAGCCATTAATTTCCAGTGGCAATCCAGCCGGACCCTTTAAGTTTAGTGAGGCTGAACAAGAACAGATGATGGAGCTCCGAGACCAGGTTTTCAGAGTATGGGGTCTTTTGAGATCCTCAAATAACTTTGATCCGAGCCTTTTGCAACCAATCGTTCAGGTAGACTGTTGCTAAACTGTCTTACTATACTCTTCAACTGCTACTGTGAATTGTGTGTGACTGATACAGAAAAGTGATTGTGATAATCAGGTGCTACAAGAACCAGAGGCCCGTGTCTTGGGTTCTCGTGTCGCAGGTGGTGTAACACAGCGCCTTGCGGCACGTCTGTTGCAACAGCTTCTCAGGACCCCACCTGCTCCTGGATCTTCTTAGCAGATATATAGATAGGCTCGTGTGAAGCATGTAAATTGACACGATACTTTTCACAGGAAATGAGAAGGAAGCACAACTCAGAATTCAATTGGATCATAGGAAAGTTTTCCTGTTCCTTCGTTTTTTCTGTGAAATAGAACTGATTTCTATGGAACTCCTGTATAATTCCTATGTTCCAAATAGGTCCCAAGTATATACTAGTTTCTTGGTTCTCAGTGGATAAAGACCCATACATCTGCACGGCCGTGAATTGAGTACACTAGAACATCAGGCGCTTGCAATGACTTTAAAACAGAAGCTATCCACGTCTGATGGGCATGGCTTTATAATTAGATGTTAATGCTAAGATTCAAATACAAACATTTTTATATATAGAGTCATTGCCACCGGCATCTAATTAAGATCTGGCATATCGAACCAATAGATACAGAGTACAAACTATGAAGCAATCACATATCTTCAATGTCCTGATAGTGCAAATAGCAAGATTAGTATGGCCATCTCAGCCACCCGTATGTTTCTATTTAGCCATACCATTGATTAAGCAGTGCAACCATCCTCTGAGGATTAGGTATCTTTGCCTGCTCTGTAAATGGAAAAGGGTGTTAGAGACACACTCAAACATGAAATGGATTAGAGTAGAAAATAAGATGGAAACTATGACATTCCCATTATATTGGACCATGTTAACCTTAGGTGAATTTATCGGCTAAAGACGCACGGTAAAACATCAATGGATGATATATCAAACATATAAAAAAACAGAAAAATTATGAAAGTGAGAAAACCAATATACTGAAGAACATTTTGTACTCTTGTATAAAGCAGCAAAAAAACATATCATGGCAATGCCTTTTTATACATAAATTGCCCCATTTTAGTACATGGCATACAAAAGCCGAACCAAGAACTTGTCTTAATTATTCATAAAGTTGTTTCTCTTCATTGAGATTTTCATCAATCTTAATTTTGCATTTCATCAGTTGATCGGCACAAAATCTTTTCGGCTTTGTTATCTTTAATTTCCTAGTTGGGGTATTATTTTTCTTGAAGGAACCAACATTAAGATGGCCATAGTATTCTCTCTTGAGTTTATCAGCTGCACAGTAATTTCAGGCCGTATGGAATATTAAGATGTGCATAGACTTAACAAACAATTTTGTTTATATGGTTTTCAGAGCATGCTAATGTAAGCTAAGGAACATAATCAGATGAAGGTACTAATAGGCATAACATCTTCAAAGAAAGAAAATAGGACATGAGAACAAGCTGAATTCACAAGCATAGGCAGTTGCTGATGGATATGATCACCTGGGCCAATCAAGGACCTTGATAAAAGAGAAGATACCTTTTAGAGACATTCCAAAGAAGAAAAGTATGTCCAGCTATTAGCTTATTCTAAGGGTCGTTTCCAAGGTTTCATTGCTACCATAGTAGTCTTCGAGTCAAACGGTGGTGGCTATGAATATTTATGGTAAATAAGGTCCTCACAAAGAAGAAAATTTGTATTGACATTAGCATTGATCTTTAAGAACATTGGCAATGAAGGGTGGTTGCAGGGGAAGGGAGTCGACCCCCATGTATCGGCGCCAGAAGAGGTTACCGAGGTGCCCCTTTGGTGATCTGCTGGCGCGCCTACATGGTCCGTGCGTGGATACGGTTTAGGTATCCATTAGCAAGAGGCTAAATGACCATGGCGACGGTGGAGGTTTGAAAGGATCTAACAATGCCTAGAGGGGGTGAATATGCGTATCTAAAAATTTACTGCAAAAACTAAGTTCAAATTTGTCAGCCACTGTCGGAAGTCCCGACAATTTGGGTCGAAACTTCCGACGTCGTCAGAAGTTCCAGCGCAAACTATCAGAAGTCCCAACACCTATGTGAACTATAAAAGCAGTGTCAAATTTAACTTTGCGGATAAATAATCTCACAACCCCACTTCCTAGTGGTTAGATGAAGATGTTGGGTCACTCCCTTGACGCCGAAATGCCTCCAATTCGTAGATCGAGTCCAAACCCTAAGAAAAGTCTTGGGAGAGAGAGACAAACAAATACAAGAAATTTCGAATAAATCGCAACAACAACAAGCATGCGGGACACAAGGATTTATCCCGAGGTTCGGCAACCCCACAAAGGAGCTCCTACGTCCTCGTTGTTGAGGTGACCACAAAGGTTGGAGTCTCTTCCACCTCCTTGCCTCTCTCAAGGAAACCACAAAGGTCACTTGAGCTTTCCACTAAGAAATCGAGGGTAATATAAACTTTTCAAGGCTCTTCCACAAGATGGAAGCTCTTGGACGACGCCTAGCCGGCTAGGAGCAAACCTCCAAGAGTAATAGACGCAAATCCAACCGGCTTGACAAAGAAATCAAGTGCTCAAGCTTGTCAAAGTGATTCTCTCACTCAATCCACTCTCCTATCGCTCAAATCCTTGGGGGAATCAAAGTTTTGAGCAAAGGGGACAGGAGAGTGGAGCCTTGAATGCTTAGTAGTTGTTTTGGCCGTGAGTAGGTCGCAATGAATGAGAGAGTAACGGTTAGAAGAGAGGAGAGAGCTATTTATACTCAAAGAAAAAATCCAACCATTTAGATCTACGTCGGAAGTTTCGACGCGGATCTCGGGACTTCTGACCTCTATAGAAATCACTATAGAAAACAAGGTCTAGGTCACTGTGAACACGTCAACGTCGAGAGTTCCGACATTTGTCGGGACTTCCGACGCACGTCGGGAGTTCCGACGGCTAGTACTACGGGTAGGACAAGTGGCCAAACGTCGGGACTACCGGTCAAAGCCAGGACATCCGACCTACGTCGGGACTTCCGACGCTAGGGTCACCGAGCAGACTAAGTCACTAGGCACCGGGACTTCCGGCTAAAGCCAGGACTCCCGACCGTCGGGAGTTCCGATTCACGTCAGGACTTTCGATGACTTGAGTCACCGAAAGACATTCTACGTGCTCGTGAAGTGCTAGAGTGTCTCTCTTTAGATTTTATTTTTATACTTGAGCACTCTATCTTCCTTAGTCCACCTAAACTTGCATCCCTATTTATAGTACAGTGAAACCTAAACTCAAAACAAAAGATAAAACTTTGAAGAGCACTTTGAGTTCATCCGTCTTTTTAACTTCAAGGATTGAGGGACACCATTTCATCTTAGATCAACTCTTTAAAACTTTCAAGGGACTAAAGCTGCAATATATTTCATTAATATCTCATTAGTCCCTAATTTGGATGTCATCAATACACCAAAACCCACATAGGGGCCAAATACACTTTCAATCTCTCCCTTTTTGCTAATTGATGACAACCAACTTAGGCTTTTATAAGAATGAAAAAATTTAAAACTTTTGAACCCCAAAATTTGTGAGGAGCTCCCCCTTAATGTATGCATGAATTTGAATTTCAATGATGATCATCTATACATCACTTGCATACATCAAGACAAAAGCTCCCCCTAAATTTTGCAATTCGTGGGGTGCAACAAGTGTGTGTGAACAAATATATATTCATGAAAAAGAGATGTAATATGACATATTATATTCACACATAAGTAAAGAGAAGATGATGGCCAAGTTCTCGAAAAGGAAACAATAGACAACACATGGCCATCAAAATAACAATCGCCAAACACAGCTAATAAAATTGATCGATAAGCATAACTTGTCCTACAAACATCCATCACACACACAAATACATATAGTTGTCCATCATGAAGTGCCACCACACGACATAGTTCATATAAGCTAAAAAGTTTTAAAGTCTCGAACCAAGCCAACTAACTTATTACATAGATAGATCAAAGCCTAACACTCTCCCTTTGTCAACAAGTGCCAAAAGGGGTAAGCCACGTGAAAGAAATGACTACTCGTCCTCGTAGTCCTCATCATCATCATGGTCACCACCATCACCATCATTGTCGTAGTCATCATCTTCTTCCTCGCGGTATTCCTCATCAGCGACATCCATTTGCTTCTTGCCATGGCGACGGGGCTGATCAGATGACTCTCCATAGTACTCCTTGCAAGCCTCATCATAAAGCTCGAAGGGATCACGAAGTGGCTCCAAGTCATGAGGTGGTGCGGAGTGAATATCAAGCTTTTGCTCAATCCGATGCATCCTCACAAGCATCTCTTGCTCACGCTCCGCGCTAGCAAAAAAGCCCCAAACATGTACTTCATGAAGAACTTGAACTTGCTAGGGGATTACCATCGGAGGAGGATGAGGAGACCGGATCCTCACTATGAGCACGGTGAGAGCGAGAGGCATGCGGTGGAGAGGAACGAGAGGTAGAGCCCGAAGCACCTTTGCCTTTGCCTTTGGCAGCTTTCTTCAGTTCCCTTGCAGCCATAATAGACACCTTGTTGGCAATCTTGAGAACTGTATGAGTGGAATTTGTGGGGAACTGGATGCCTGACACTTTCTCAATCACATGCATAAGATAGGGGGCATACGAATAGTGCCTCACAGGATCCTCACTCGCCGAATGAATCTTGTTCCAAATGTAGCGACTGATGGAGAACTTGTCAAAATTTGGACCAAAGCGATCAAGCACCTTCTGAGAATCATCGCGAAGATAAGTGGAGTCACCGCCCTTCGAATACAGGATCTGACGAAGGATGTTGTTCAGAACATAAAAGTAGGGCTTTAGATACATTGTCTATCCATCAGAGGGATAACCATAAAGATACATGTGCCGGTACTCCTCCATAGCCACATCCTCATACTCAGTAAGCTCAGGAGCAGTGCGGTCGTATATACCCAAACCAAGAAGGCAAGAGAAAGTGATGAAATCCACCTTATAGTGCTTGCCCTCAGTGGTCCAATGGATAATGTCAACGGCATCGGAAGAGGTGGTCTCATGGTGATAGGAGGCATAAAACTGATAAATGATTTCATTGTTCCAATGCTTTCAAAACTCCAGCAAGTGGGAGAGCCCCATTGAGCGCAAATCATGAACCATCTGCTCTAGCTCTGGCTCCTTGAACTGACCATGGGAATAAGCA